TTAACGCAGAAATCAGAGTTCAAATGACACACAATATTAAGTTGATGTAATTAACAACATTATTACGTCAACACAACTTATAAATTAATGTTGTTAAAATGTTTATCTAAATCAATTAACTCGCATGTTTATCTTGCAACCAGTGCATTTAATTAAGTGGAGGTGAAAGGCCGCCTGAATTCGGTTTTTAGACGTACAGATCACTCATTTTGAAATACTAAACACGAAACACTGTTGAGATCTTCATATGAAGTGAATACTTAAAACGAAAGTTAATTGAGATCATGGTATGAAGTGAATACTTAAAAAATGAAAGTTAATTAATAAATCATACATGATCAATCATATTCTTGTATAAACCCATAATGAGAATGCTTCTTGGCGGTTTTTGAATATGTATGTGCTTACAATTTTTTCTGTTGCTATTTTGATAACTTTGCGTTTTGAAAAGAGGGTGTTGTGAGTTTTCATAGTATGTTTAATACTTAAAAACGAAAGTTAGTTATAATCAAATATAATCAATTATATTCTTGTATAACCCACAATGAAAATGCTTCATATTTTAGGTTTTTCTATAGTTACAGTATAAACAAAACAAAGTGGTTTGTTTAGGTTGAGTTTTCTTCCTCTCCTGTGACAGCAGTCCACAGGGAGGGGGGGCTCCAGGCTTAAGGAGACACATTAAGAGGCCAAAAAGAGTTCATGTCCTTTTCACCCTAACATGGGAAGGTGTGTCTCATGTCATAAAGCTATGGAACATGTTGAGGCATGTTTCAGACTTGTACATTATGGGCATGCGCAGTTTTCAACTGAATTGGGTGTAGAGGAGGAGTTTGTTTTTTTGGGTTTTCGATCCAGTTTTTTTAGCATAAAGAGACTGGTTTTTTGAGAGAGCGCGAGAGAGAGGGGGGGAAACCCCTGGTAGACTCTCTCCCGGTAGGCTGTGTGCTTCAGAGCTGGGTAACTAGCTCTCGGTAAAGGTTCTGTCAGACGGGTTAAATATATCTCGAATTTCTTGGTTGTTGGCTGAGTGGAATGATTTGATGAGAGATGTGTTTGTGAATATTATAAATACCGCCATCTGTGAGGAAAATCTCCCCTCCGAATTTGCGGATAGGTATGGGTTTTTAAATGTTATACCCGCCGTCTGTGTCGGAAAAAGTGTATGAATATTATAAATACCGCCATCTGTGAGGAAACTCTCTCCCTCCGAAATTTGCGGATAGGTATGGGTTTTTAAATGTTATACCCGCCGTCTGTGTCGGAAAAAAGGTATGAAAACTGATGTAAATGAAGTTGGTGAAATGAAAAAGTTGAATGCGCTTTTTATGGTCACCGGTCTTTTTACGAGGAAATACCTCTAAATTCTATCGGGAGAATTTTAAAATGTCACAACTGAAATGGGCAGTTGAAATTAAAACATTTTGGTAATAAATGTAAGACTGTGAATTAAAGTTTCATTTGAACATGATCACAGCACGTTTTTTTTTTAGTATGATTATAATGTTGTAAAGAGAGAAGGTAAAAACCCTGTATTAGTTTGGACCTATTTTTCTTCAAATAAACTGAATCCCACCAGTTGGATTGGGATAATTTAAAAGACACCTGTGCCCTCCTCTCCTGCGTCAAAGGTAAGATTGCACCCTGCCACACACACTTAGGTAGGAGCACACTCCATTTACTGATATCAAAATCCTTCGGGATCGCTTAAACAGATTAAAAAAGAGTTGTCTGAATTGAAACAGCAGTTAATTGAACCTGGTTCTTCGGGGGGGTTAGGAAGAGGTGAGATCTTGCTGACGTTGGTGGATCTGAGCCAAGCAGCAACCTTACATAGACTCAATAACTTCGGAAAGGTCAATTAGTAGGTCAGAGTAATTTACCGGAATAAATTATCAGGACCTCTCCGACTCTAAACACACACATTTGGTTGTTTATAGCATAAAGAACATCTGAGTTAATGTGAGGTAGGGAAATAATCATTTGAGTATGTGCATATAAATATGTAATTTACAACAGCTGTAAGATACTTGAAAAGCTTGAAAATGCACCTTGAAAATGCTTGAAAAGTGCTTGAATTTGACTTTGGAAAAGGTGTAAGAACCCTCTTATGCCTTTGCCTGAAGACGGTGACGAACTTCTCATGGTGTGCACACCTAGACCGGACTTAAAAGACGTTCCTCTGACCAACGCTGACCTCATTTTGTATGTTGATGGGTCTGCCTCTCGCGACCAAGGGGGCACTAATCGGGTGGGTTTTCCTGTTGTTTCAGATTCTGCTGTACTCCGTTCCGGACCAATCCCATGTCTCAGCACAAGCAGCAGAGCTCATCGCACTAACTGAAGCCTGCACGTTTGCAGAAGGCAAAACCGTGACTATTTACACTGACGCTATGCTATGCTTTTGGGGTAGTACACGATTTTGGGGCTATTTGGAAGTGTAGACAATTTCTGAAATCTGATGGCAAACCAGTACTTAACCATGTACTGGTTGCAGGCTTACTAGACGCCACTCTGCTCCCATCTGAAGTTGCAGTCTGTAAATGTGCCGCACACGCAAGCAGTACAGACCCAGTTTCCCTAAGAAATTGGGTCCGCTAATTTACCTGCTGACTCAGCCGCAAAGGCAGCTGCTCTGATTCCTCTCGCACAATCATTTGTTAAAATCCCTGTCTCCTCCTTCACTGACAAAATGTCGTCACTGACTTCCATGCAGCAGCTCGCTACACCAGTTGAGAAAGCTTTTAAAGCCTAAGAACCCAAAAAAGTGTGGGACACCATGAGAACCGTGACAGGAATGACCTCTTCAGCTAAACCTATTGTGAAGGACAAGACATACTTGATCCATACCAATTTGCCTATAAGCAAGGGGGTGGTACTGCTGCTACTCTGGTTCACATAATCACTAAACATTTAGATAAACGTCACACCTATGCAAGAGCCCTCTTCCTAGACTTCTCAGCAGCAACACAATACAAGCAGACATCTTGGTGTCAAAAATGGAAGTAAATCCATACCTGATTTACTGGTATGCCGCTTTCCTCACCAGTAGAGAGCAACTTGACCAAACCCTGTCATCTGCCATCACAACCAATGTAGGGGCCCTCAGGGCTGCGGGAGTTCAGCTGTGCTCTTAGCTTCTTTTGATGACTTTACTGAACTGCTGTCTATAGTGTGTTTTGACTTTGACCGTCTAGTCATTGTTGGTGATTTTAACATCCATGTTGACAACCCCCAGGACAGAGCGGCTAAAGAACTGTTTTGTGTTCTTGATAACTATGGTGGGGACCCTCTCATGACATGAATGTGTTCAAATTGAGAACCATAAGTCTAGTGTTTGTCAACTGGAGTACCGCAGGGCTCTGTATTGGGCCCAATCCTGTTTAGGGCTGTGCAATTTAATCGATCCTGCGATATATATCGATATTTAGTTTTCCGAAAAAGTATCGATATTTCAGCCGCGGGTATCGATACATTAAGTCTGATAACTGTGTTCGTTATTCTCGCGTCCAGTAGAGAAGCTTTAAAAAGGAGACTAATTGAGTCTCTGAGAAGGTTCAAATGTATACTTTAATTAATAAAAAGCGCGGTAATGTTACAAGCAGAAGATGGTTCAGTCAGAAAAACAGCTGTGTTCTGGCTCTCGTGAGCGAAGGGAAGAGAGCGAGCTCCACCTTTCCAGCTGTTAAATATCCTCTTTTGGCTCCTCCCTGTGGGCCGGTTGGCGCTGCTGGGGGCCGGCCCTCCACGTCTCCAATGTTCGTTGTTGCGCATTACAGAGGATTCAGACATTGTACATTAAATATATAACTAAACACGCCTTTTCTTCTCCTTATCTCTTTCATGACTTTTCATTTAATACATTTTAAACGCTGTAATCAATACTCTAAAAATACTTCACGGCTGGTATCATTTCCGGTAGTTCCGAATGTTGTCTCATGCTACCCACGTCTGTAAACAAACGTATTCAAATAAACTGTACCTTCATTTAATATTCAGTAATAATAATATCTCGACGTCTATAGTTGTAGTGTTGAAATCAGTAGGTTTCGGTGTGCAACACTCCGTGTCATATCGCTACTAAATTCACCTCTATAGTAAATGGTATATTAGCCACATGCTAAATGCTAACCAGAGATGAAGGATTTTCAGAATAAAAGCTTAACAACTGGTTGTGCACAAGAACTTCTGGGTTTTCAGTATAAAACAGCATTTAAACTGACGGTATGTTTAAGGTACTTTATGCAATCAAAACATTGATTTTAATTTCTAACAAGTCCCATTCAAATCCCCCGTGTTCCGCCACCTGCTGCACCTTTTAATTATCCATTGTGATACTGCATTTTATGTACTTACGTTTCAAAGGCTTGTAAGCTACAGTTTGCACTGTTTCAATAAATGAAACTAATTTTCTCACCACATCTTTTGATTCATTTTGTCCAGCATTTGCAAGCTGTAGACTCTCTGTCAGAGCCATATATTGTATAATTGATGCTTTCAGTTTTCAGTTGAATTAATTCAATCCAAGTCACTCACATGTCACCAAAATCACACTGTCCCTTTAAAATCTTTCAAAAATTATATAAGTGTATCGAATTATATCGAATCGTATCGAATCGTATCGTTGGCTGAATATCGTGATATATATCGTATCGTTGGCTGAATATCGTGTATCGTATCGTATCGTGAGATTAGTGTATCGCTACAGCCCTAATCCTGTTTAGTATGTACATAAATGATCCGCCTTCTGTGTGTGGAGAATGTGATGTATGCTGATGATACAGTTGTGAGCTCACAGCTCCTCATATCTGTTCAGAAACTAGACAGAAGTTAAACAAGTACAAACCACAGACTGTCTGTGTCATGGTGAATACAGTCGCTGCTTTATTTATGTCTGTATAGGGCGTTCCGAGCTGAATAAGGGCGTCAAATGAAGGCAAGACGCCCGCCTGGCGGAAAGGCTGGAATTAGGAATATATTGTGATGAAGTGCACACTGACCTGAGCTCCAGGGGTCTCTTTCTTCTCCTCCATGCTGCTCATCAGCTGTCCTGATGAAGACCACAGAGCTGCTTCATTATTAATATAATACAAGTATTTAGATATAATTCATCATAAACTGTCAGCAGTGAAGAGGAGGAATTCAAAGAGTTTATTCAATGATATGTTCTATTTCTAGATGCTTATATGTAGTGTTTTATCACACCATGTGCAGTGCCTTGTCTTATCTATGCTGCTGTGATGTAAACATGTTCCAAATTGATCCATTTAGTCAATGTGATGCTAAGCAGAGGAGAAAATGATAGAAAGGTCAGATAGTTATTAACGTTACATGCACATTACTTTAACCATTACGATAAAAAGTTGGTTTTCTGTGTAAATTATTATTAATACAAATATTTAGATATAATTCATCATAATCTGTGTAGCAACTTACATTGTAACTTACAGCTCACAGTTTGTTCACTTTTATTTCATTAAAATGACTTTATTCACATAGAAAGTGACATTAATGGTTGTTTGAACCACTGTTATAGCGCTATCCGTGTGTAACTATCACTAAGTTAACACAGAAAGCAAACATTAGCTAGTGAGACTGTTTAATGTACTCCATGTATACAGTATTTTCTGTATATTGTGTATTCTTTAGATACTCTAGTGATATGTGTCCTGTGTGTATACTTGCTGCTAATGCTTCATTTTTATTATATCTTATTGCATCTTTTAAATATGTTTAACTCGTGTAATGCCTGAAAACACTTCTGCTGTGACACATTCATTTCCCACTTTAAGATAAATCATTAGCTAAATAAAGTATATCTATTTATCTAATGAGCTAAACCGTCGCTTAGCTTAGCGTTAGCTGCTAACTGAAGAACCCCATTCATTTCAATGGGAAAAATGCTACGTCACGAGAATGGCGATGCTAATAAGCTAGTTAGCATATATTTAAAACCATATCTATGGTAAAGACCAACACAACAACTCAAACCGTCTTAAAGACAACTGGTGTAATAAATAACTAACATAAAGTCAGCTGAGCATTACAAATCAACTGTTACTCCCCCAGAGCCGAACTGGAATAATAACTGTAGCTGTTAGCCGATAGCCGTTAGCTTTCAGACTGTAGCTTTCAGACTGTAGCTGTTAGACTGCAGCTGTTAGCCTTTATTTAAAGATAGTTTGAGACTATTTTTGTCGCACATTTTAAAGTTTTTTTGTGAGTTTCTTTCTACCAAGATTACAGCTGTTGTGTTAAATAATATAACTTCTGATTCGTGATTAACTGTAAGCTAAGAGGTTTAATCCACTCACCTCTTCTTTTGTCCTTTGTCCTTTGTCCTTCTTCTTCTTCTTCTTCTTCTTCTTCTTCCGTGTTTATTGGCGGTTGGCAAACCAACTTGTTGGCGCATTACCGCCACCAACTGGACTGGAGTGTGGACAAGAGACTATGCAGAAAACAAGAAACAAAACAAACAAAACAAAGAACCAAAACTCTAGATTATTTTAAATGTATCAATTTCTCTTAGAAACTTAATAATCTCACAATATATATTGCCTGATGTTTTCCCTAACAGCCCTGATAGCGACAAGTCATGGAATTTTGCTTTCTTCAGTGTCTGGAAAAGCACATTTCTCTGAGTACTATATTTCCTGCAAAGCAGTAAAACATGCCCAACAGTTTCTGAATGGCTGCAGTGTGTACACTTTCCGGTTGGATGCTTTCCTATTATACTTAAAGTATGATTGAGACCTGTATTATACTTAAAGTATGATTGAGACCTGTATTATACTTAAAGTATGATTGAGACCTGTATTATACTTAAAGTATGATTGAGACCTGTATTATACTTAAAGTATGATTGAGACCTGTATTATATTTAAAGTATGATTGAGACCTGTATTATACTTAAAGTATGATTGAGACCTGTATTATACTTAAAGTATGATTGAGACCTGTATTATACTTAAAGTATGATTGAGACCTGTATTATACTTAATGTATGATTGAGACCTGTATTATACTTAATGTATGATTGAGACCTGTATTATACTTAAAGTATGATTGAGACCTGTATTATACTTAAAGTATGATTGAGACCTGTATTATACTTAAAGTATGATTGATACCTGTATTATACTTAATGTATGATTGAGACCTGTATTATACTTAATGTATGATTGAGACCTGTATTATACTTAAAGTATGATTGAGACCTGTATTATACTTAAAGTATGATTGAGACCTGTATTATACTTAAAGTATGATTGAGACCTGTATTATACTTAATGTAGGATTGAGACCTGTATTATACTTAATGTATGATTGAGACCTGTATTATACTTAATGTATGATTGAGATCTGTATTATACTTAAAGTATGATTGAGACCTGTATTATACTTAATGTATGATTGAGACCTGTATTATACTTAAAGTATGATTGAGACCTGTATTATACTTAAAGTATGATTGAGACCTGTATTATACTTAAAGTATGATTGAGACCTGTATTATACTTAATGTATGATTGAGACCTGTATTATACTTAATATATGATTGAGACCTGTATTATACTTAATGTATGATTGAGACCTGTATTATACTTAATGTATGATTGAGACCTGTATTATACTTAAAGTATGATTGAGACCTGTATTATACTTAAAGTATGATTGAGACCTGTATTATACTTAAAGTATGATTGAGACCTGTATTATACTTAAAGTATGATTGAGACCTGTATTATACTTAAAGTATGATTGAGACCTGTATTATACTTAAAGTATGATTGAGACCTGTATTATACTTAAAGTATGATTGAGACCTGTATTATACTTAAAGTATGATTGAGACCTGTATGACCTATTCTCATCCGAGAAATGACATTTTCCTCCCTTCTTTTAAACCCCACCTTCCTTCCATCCCCCACATACCTTTGAATGTGATAAAGATGTCTTCCTGTATCACTAAGGTCCCAATGATCTTGCCATGTTGCATATGTCTGAATGAATGTTTGAACCTCCGCTTTGCTGAGTGGAACTTCTATGTCTATGTTCATACTTCTGAGTGTTTGTTTGGCCAGAATATCCACCTGTTCATTTCCCTCCACACCAACATGAGCAGGAACCCAGATGAAACGAGTTGCTATGCCTTTGATTTGCATTTGATATGAAATTAGACATATTTCATTTATGATGTCCATTCTAGATGAAGATCTGCCTGATCGTATACTCGATAATGCTGAAAAGCTGTTAGATGCAATTACACTGTTATGTATTTCTTTCTCCTCTATCCATTTCAATGACAGTACCAATGCCAACAACTCTGTGGTGTATACTGACACATGGTCTGTTACCCTTTTCTTTCTATGTGTATTACTCACTGGGATATACACTGCTGCCCCTGCACGCCCTGTCTCTGGATCTTTGGAGCCATCTGTAAATATGATTGTTGAGTCTGAGTGATATCTTGCAGAATAATTCTGGACTATGCACCATACTGGTAGTTCTTTCCTACTCTTACTTGTATTTTCCTGTACAGTAAAACATTCATAACCCAATTATATGCTTTACCACCAATTCCCAATGATTTGAACTTGATTAGTAGACCTTCCTTCCAGAGCATGTCATAAGCCTTTTCAATATCAAAGAAGACTGCAATCACTACTTCCTTGTTGGTCTGTGCTTTCCTGATGTCTGATTCTAAGCACAATATAGAATCCATTGTATTCCGACCCCTCTGGAACCCACTTTGATATGGGGACAACAGAGCTTTACTTTCTAAGATATATGTTAACCTTTCTGTAACCATTCTCTCCATGATTTTGCATAAATGAGATGTCAGGGCAATAGGCCTGTAGCTAGATGGATCTGAAGGGTCTTTCCCTGGCTTCAGGATGGGCACTATTATCGCTTGTTTCCACTCTGAAGGAAGTTGGCCAGAATCCCACACCCTATTAAACAACCTTAACACAATGACTAGAGAGTTATCTGTCATGTGTTCCAGCATTTTGTAACAAACACCATCTTTCCCAGGAGTGGTTTGGCGAGCACTCATAATTGCTCTTCTCAACTCAAACATACTAAAATGCAGGTCCAACTGATCTCCTAACGCTTCTACTCTATCCAATATTCTCGTGTTTTCCATTCGTGTATTATTTCTGCACTGCCTGGCTTCCTCTGTAAGGTTATCTGAACTATGAACTTTCCTAAATGTTTGAGCTAGAACTTCCGCCTTTCCTACGTTTGTGACAGCCATTTTGTCCCCTCTGCTCAAAACTGGCAACTCATAATTCCTTCGACTTCCCCCCATTCTCCTAATCATGCCCCAAACATCTGCAAGCTGTACTTCTCTTCCAATACTATTGCAATATTGCCTCCAAAAAGTGCGTTTTTGCGTTCTTATTGTTCTCCTCACTATAGCCTGGGCCCTTTTATCCTGATTCAAAGCTTCCTGAGAATGGAGTTGTTTGAGTTGCCTGAATGCTTTATTCCTGTCTTTAATGGATTTACTACATTCACCATTCCACCAGGGTACACTCTTGGTGCGCCTAACTCCTGCACTTTCCGGAATTGTTTCTTTAGCTGAATGAATGATAACCTTAACCAGCTCATCATTTCATTTATTTATATCATCATCATTTTCCTCTTGAAGTGTTTTACATCTATTCGTACTTACAACTTGGAAGGCATCCCAATGAGCCTTTCCCAGTTTCCATCTAGGAATTTTCTTTTCCTTTTCAAACCTTATGTTGGTCCCAACTTTAGTCATCACCGGATAATGATCGCTGCCCACTGTAGCATGCTTTACCACATTCCATGTCAGATCGAGTACTGTTTCTATATTCTTCGTGCAATTATATCGTGTTCCTTCTCCAGTGTTAATGCACACTAGCCCGAGGTCATCTATAAACTGTTACGCTCACCGGTAGTTACAGGAGTGAACTCACAATGCTGAACACAGGACGATGAAACAGAGCTTTTGAGGTAGACAAAGGTTTATTAACCAAAAACCTATATAGAGTCAGACGAGGGAGTTAATATCCAATAAACCCAAAGCCAGGGTTTGTCAACTGAGGTGGTGCGGATATGCACGGAGATACTCTGGCGAGGAGAGCCGGGGAACCAGAGCTGGTGAGAGTTGACAGGAAGGAGATGGTGTGCGTGGAAGCACGAAGGTACACTTGCGAGGGAAGCCGGGGATCCAGAGCTGGCGATAGTTGACAGGTTGGAGCTGGTGTGCGTGGAAGCACGGAGATACTCAGACGAGAGGAACGTGGCTGGATGTGGCAGGCAGAGGAGTAGGCAGATGGATTCTGACGGAGAACACAAGGGTTAGATTTGGCAGGAACACAGAGAGTTAGTTTTACCATAAACTACATGTACCAAGTCGAATTACCAGCGAGGTGAAACGACGAACTGGTGAATACTGGATGAGAGGACCGGGCATATAAGCAGGTGAAGGTGAGTAGTGTAATCAGGATGATGAGCAGCAGCTGCGGAGGTGAGTTGGAGGGAATCAGAAGTGGGTCAGCCACACCCAGCCCGGGAGACAGACACACAGACAGACAGAACGAACATAACAAACATAAAACAAAGAAGAGAAGAAGGAGGGAGATACTGCAAATCCTCACAGTACCCCCCCCTCCACGGGAGCCTCCTGGCGACCACCAGGCTTGTCAGGGTGTGCTCTGTGGAACTCCCTCACCATGACAGGGTCCATGATGCGTGACCGAGGCACCCAGCAACGTTCCTCCAGGTTGTAACCCTCCCAATCAACCAAGTACTGAAAGCCCCTGCCCCGGCGTCTGACATCCATAAGCCGACGCACGGTGTAGGCAGGATGATCATCGATGACTCGGGGGGGAGGAGGGGGATTGGTTGGAGGGCACAGGTCACTAGTGTGGACTGGCTTGATCTGGGAAACATGAAAGGTTGGATGAACCTTCATGGATCTGGGGAGTCTCAAGCGGACAGCAGAGGGGTTAATAATGCGCTCAATGAGGAAAGGCCCAAGGAACCGAGGGGACAGTTTCTTTGACTCGGTGAGGAGTGAGATATTTTTGGAAGACAACCAAACTGATTGTCCAGGGGTGTAATGGGGAGCGGCATGTCTGTGACGGTTAGCTGACCGTTGATTCCTGGTAGAAGTCCGGAGGAGTTCTGAGCGAGTGTTCCTCCAAATCTTACGGCACCGTTGAATGTGATGCTGGACAGAAGGAACTGCCAACTCACTCTCCTCCTCAGGAAACAGGGGAGGTTGGAATACTCCACCCAGGGTAGAAGGGAGCTCCAGGTAGATTGATTGCGATTGGCAACACAGCGGAGAGTAGCTTCCAGGTCTTGATTGGCCCTTTCAGTTTGACCGTTTGACTGGGGATGATAACCAGAAGTTAGACTGACAGATGCACCAAGTGAATGACAGAAATTCTTCCAAACCAGAGAGATGAACTGAGGTCCACGGTCGGAGACGATGTCAGCCGGGATTCCATGCAGGCGGAAAACATGCTGGGTGAGAAGTTGACCGGTCTCCAGGGCTGAGGGAAGCTTGGGCAGAGCTACAAAATGGGCACATTTGGAGAAACGGTCTACAACTGTTAGAATAGTTGTGTTTCCTTGTGAGGGAGGTAGGCCGGTGACAAAATCTAGTGCAATATGAGACCAAGGTCGACTTGGGATATGAAGGGGCTGGAGCAATCCTGCAGGTCTCTGATGAGAGGCCTTGCTCCTAGCACATGTAGTGCAGGCTGAAACAAACTCCTTAGTGTCCTTGTCAACTGTTGGCCACCAGAAATGTCTCCGGAGAAGAGAGAGTGTGCGGTTGGCACCAGGATGATTAGCGAAAAGGGAGCTGTGGACCCACTGCAGGACTTGAGAACGGACAGAGGTGGGGACAAACTGACGGTTTGGCGGACCACAACCAGGGTCCGGTTGCTCCAATAGCGCCTCCTGGATGGAGTTACTGATTTCCCAGGTGAGGGCACCCACAACACAGCTCAGGGGAAGAATAGAGTCAAAAGACGTGACTGGTCCCTCAGACGAAAACGACCTGGACAGGGTGTCGGGTTTAGTATTCTTGGAACCAGGACGATAAGTTAGAGAGAAGTTGAAATGACCAAAGAAGAGGGCCCACCGGGCCTGTCGGGAGTTTAGTCGTTTAGCAGACTGAATGTACTCCAGGTTCTTGTGGTCAGTCCAAACAAGGAATGGCTGCTCGCTGCCCTCGAGCCAGTGTCGCCACTCCTCCAACGCCATCTTCACCGCCAGCAGCTCTCTGTTGCCCACATCATAATTTCTCTCAGCTGGGGAAAGACGGCGAGAGAAGAAAGCACATGGGTGAAGCTTATTGTCTGGCCCTGCCGTCTGAGACAGAACAGCGCCAACCCCGATTTCAGATGCATCTACCTCCACCACAAACTGCTTGCTTGAGTCTGGCTGGATGAGTATGGGGGCAGATTTGAACAAGGATTTGAGGAGAAAAAATGCCTTGTTAGCATCAGTAGTCCAGGTAAACTTGATCTTGACAGAAGTGAGACTGGAGAGTGGAGCTGCTACCTTGCTATAGTTCCTGATGAACCGGCGATAGAAGTTAGCAAAACCCAGGAACCTCTGCAGCTCCTTCCTAGTAGTGGGGACTGGCCACTCGGAGACCGCTAGCATCTTTCCTGGATCAGCCTCCAACTTGCCCTGCCTGATGATATATCCCAGGAAGCTGACCCGCTCCTGGTGAAACTCGCACTTCTCAGCCTTGACGAACAGCTTGTTCTCAAGCAGCCTTTGCAGCACCTGACTGACGTGGTCCTGATGTTCCTCCAGACTCGTGGAAAAAATCAAGATGTCGTCAATGTAAACAAACACGAATCGGTTAAGGAAGTCTCGTAGGACATCATTAACCAGGGCCTGGAAAACAGCGGGGGCAATATAGAGTCCAAAGGGCATGACAAGATATTCGAAGTGACCAAGGGGGGTGTTGAAAGCTGTCTTCCACTCATCTCCTTGGCGAATTCGAACAAGGTGGTAGGCATTCCTGAGGTCGAGCTTGGAGAAGATGGTGGCACCTTGGAGAGGTTCAAATGCTGAGTTTATCAGACGGTTTGGTCACAATTTATGTAAACACATATTTCCAAGGCACTCCTTTGTAATTATTGGGATAAGCAGGTTTTAAATCATTCCAATGTATACTATAGGACAGTAACCAAAAATATCCTTTAAAACTGGAGATAAAAAAAAAATGCATAAATAAATAAATGTTAAGGTAAAATAAGATATGAATGAACAACACAAATAAAATAAGTTACATTAATTTGTTATTGGCTATGGTAGGTTATTGTTTATGTTCACATACTTATTTGATTACATCCACTTGTCTAAGATGACAACATAGACTTTCGACCCAAACCCAGCTATTGACTTGTGGATGCAAGCAGCTAATCGCAGACTCAACCAGAGAGGAAGAAGTAGGCCTACATCATCAGCTACCATGTCTGACAGAGAGGAAGACAGTGAGGAGAACAGTCAGGAGGGTAGTGATGACAGCTTGTAGGATTACTGGTCGTGCTAATGTTGTCTTGTGTTCACCTCTGCATGTGTGTTCTGTGTTCACCTCTGCATGTGTGTTCAGTGTTCACCTCTGCATGTGTGTTCTGTGTTCACCTCTGCATGTGTGTTTCGTGCCGTGTGTCTGGCAAATAAAGTCAAGACCCCTCAAAAGTTACGGTTTATTTCATTTTAAGGATGAGCACCAAGCAACATCTCCAGGTGCTCCTTTGAGAACCAGGGCAAACAAGTTATGTGCACCCCTGTCTATAAATTCCTCAACTACTGCCCCATTTGCATCTGTGCTACTGCTTCCCCATAGCGAGCTATGTGAATTAAAAACCCCACACCATATTACTTTGTCTTGCAGTGAACCCCCAGCATCCTCTAATATACTTTGATCTAATTTCCCACATTATAATAATTTACTATATCTATAGGTCCTCTATCATTCCATACCCTTATAACTATTGCTTCATGATCTGTACTTACATGAGTAGTTATACACATACCACTTTCGTCTCATTAGTATGCATAGAAAGTGACAGGTCACACCTCTAAGTCCCGCCCCCTTCCGCCGGAAGTCCCGCCTCAATAGGCACCGCCCACTTCCAGCGGAAGTCCCGCCCCTCCATAAGCCCCACCCCTTCCGCCGGAAGTCCCGCCCCCACTTCCGGTTTTTCAAAAATAAAATTAAAACATATTTTTTAAATGATACAAATAAAAAATGCTGCCCCTACCGGTCGCCCCCGCTTCCGGTTTTCAAAATAAAATAACATGACATTTAACAACCATGAGAAAAATAAAATGCTGCCCCCTGCCGGTTTTCAAAATAAAATTTGAAAATAATTTGAAAATGATAAAAATAAAAAATGCTGCCCCTACCGGTCGCCCCCGCTTCCGGCAAAATAACATGAAATGTAACAACCAGGAGAAAATAAAATGCTGCCCCCTACGGTTTTACAAAATAATAATTTTATAATGAATCACATATGCATAGGATCAATGTCCCTGCCACCTAGTCACTTCCTGTGCGCCTGTATACAGCAGTATTGACTGCAACTTACAAATACTTGCAAATAACATGAAATATACAACCATATATTTTAAAAGTAATGTCTCAGCTCTAAAGAGCAATGTCCCGCCACCTAACCACTTCCTGTGCCCCTGTATACAGCAGTATTGACTGTAACTTACAAATACTTGCAAATAACAAGAAATATACAACCATATATTTGTAAAAGTACTGTCAATCTCACTAACTCTCTCTCTCTGCTATTCTCTGCCGTGAAAAGTTTGGTGAACAGTCAAGACAGGTGTGGGGGCACCATAAAACCCCCAGACATCCTCTGCAGGACAAATGGTGGGGCGATGGGGAGGGGGAACACACACACACACACACACACACACACACACACACACACACACACACACACACACACACACACACACACACACACACCCCCCACCACTCACCCCTCTTCCGTTAGGGTTAGATAAATAAGAGCCATTCGTCTTTCTCACTCTTCAATATTTTCTCAAGTCGAGAGAAATGGCCAAGAGACGTCTTGATATGGGTGTAATCTGCGAGACACCTGTGACAACCTACAGCCATCCGCTGGGTGCTCCAATCAAGAAAAGATTGCGGTTTGTATGCCGTGTCCAAACGCCTCCAACCGAAGAAGAACTTCAGGGAGAATGGACTCTGGAAAATGGCGACGTCTGGGGTTATGCCTTCAACTATGTGGCGAATGAATTGCATTTCTACAACTTAAAGAAGGGGGAAATGTACGGACCACAGAGTGCTAATGCGACGCTAACCTCGACAGATTGGGCTGTGTTAACTCTGGTGTCTGCCAGAGAGCTCCCCCACCCCACCACTGGATTGAAGGCAGAAGGAGTGCATCAAGAAAGCATAGGGGAACCAGCGGTGTACAAGATTTTTGCAGTGAAAAGTCAAGAAACGCAGACAGCAGGCGAGATCAAAAAAGAGGTTGCACCGTTGCCCATCAAGCTGGAGGAAGAGGAAGGAGATATTTCCCCGCAGCCAGAAGTGAAAAGAATCCTGTCAAGCACCGTATGGGAAACTAAAAGCGGACCCTCTGGGCGTTGGTATTACCGCTCAAGCCGTGTGGTGACGTTGGGTAAGCACCCCTCGGATGATTTTGTTTTGGAGTATTTCAACTCTACATGCGGGGTTTTCCAGACATCCCTACGTGTGCCTCTGACTGCTTGGCTGAAAATGATTGATGAGAAATCTGTAAAGCTTAAAGAACTTTTTAAACAGAGTCAGACATCGATCGACATTATACTGCTGAAAAGGACCCTCACTTATGCAGACGACCCCGCCCCCCAAACAGCATAACAAGTCCCACCCCCACCTCACCAGATCATTTAAAACGAAGGACCCATCAAGAACGGTCTGTGATCAACAACAGCCATGGATCTGAAAAACAACAACTCCATCACCGCGAGCTGCAGCCTGGATCAAACGCCTCCAGGATCACCATCCTCACCAACAATTTGGACACCAGATCTCGACAACTATATGGCGGGCATCGATATCACGGGATGGATGGATATGCCTCAACCTCCATCCGACTCTCCAGGGGAATGTGCAGCAGAAGGCGTTGACATGTCATGCTATACGTGTGTTCCAGTGGTTCCTGATACAGAACGTGGAAGGACTTCATCATTCCTGAATACGGTAAAAGCTGTTGTAGCCCATCTGCTGGATAGGGTCGTTTAACTCTATAAAGAGGAAACATGCAACGGATGTCAAATCGCTCACCCCAGTCAGAGGCAGCACGAGTGTTTGTTGCCGACCCGAGATTACTTTCTGAACATCAATTTTGACGAGGTGTTAAAGAGACTGTGGACCGTTTGTTTCATTCCAGCCATTCGGGATGCTCTGCACAAAAGCCAGCTTCATGTGTCAGAGAGGAGAGTCCTTGGAGCTACCGAGGCGATTCTGCACAATCTCAGAAACACCAGACTCTTTGAAGCTAAAATGGAGAAAATGTACGACCAGTTGATAGACAACGACGAGAACCGTCTGAAGACCATAAGAGCAGCCTGGGTCTTTTGGCAGCAGTAGGACAAACAAATTTGATACTTTTTTCGTTAAAGTATGTTTTATATTTTACTTCTTTTAACATGTTTTTTTTTTTGATACATGTGTGACATATCAATAAAATGATTTGCAAGAAAAACTTTTGTACTCATTACCTCAACGGGGTGTAACAGGAAACATGTCTGAGAAACGTGCGATGCATAAAGTGTATTACACACCTTCTAATCCAGGGAGTTTAGGAGGTGTGGACAAACTCCATAGAGCTGTACAGAATGAAATGGGTAAACAAATAAATGTAGAGAAAGTCAGGGAATACTTATCGGGGCAGGACGCATATACTTTGCACAAGCCGGCTCGGGTGCATTTTGTAAGAAACAGAGTTTTCGTACTCAGACCGCTGCAGCAATTTCAAGCAGATCTCTGCGATATGCAGTCGCTGTCCGAATATAATGATGGTTTTAATTATTTGTTAACAGTCGTAGATGTATTTTCTAAAAAAGCCTATGCTCAGGCCTTAAAGAAGAAGACGGGTATAGATGTTGCCAAAGCCTTTGATACAATTTTAACACACAGTGAGATCCCTAAAAAGATACAAACAGATGCGGGGAAAGAATTCTTTAATAAAGTTTTTCAAAACTTATTGAAGAAAAGAGGTATAGCCCATTATGCAACCGCCAGTGATATGAAGGCATGCGTGGTAGAGAGATTTAACCGTACGCTGAAAACTAAAATGTGGAGGTATTTTACAGCTAAAAACACTCATAGATATATAGACGTCTTACCCGAACTACTTGAAAGTTACAATAATAGTTATCACCGAAGTATTAAAATTACGCCACTGCAGGTAACCAAGGAAAATGCGGCTCAAGTGTTTCGGAATCTATATAACCCCTCCAGCCTTCGTAAAAAAGCTGCTGTCAAAATGAACTTTAAGGAGGGGGAGCTTGTAAGGATATCCAAATTGAGAGGAGTATTCGATAAAAAATATGAGCAGAGTTATACGAACGAATTATTTACGGTGTCTGAAGGCTTACCTCGACAGCCACCTGTTTATAAGCTCAAAGATTATGATGGAGAAGAGATCAAGGGTACTTTTTATGAGAAAGAGTTACAAAAAGTTAAGACAACTAATGACAAGGCTTTTCAAGTCGAGAAAATTCTAAAAAGGCGTGTGGTGAGGGGGAAAAAACAAATGTTTGTATCTTGGCATAATTGGCCCGAAAAATTCAACAGCTGGGTTGATGCTGGCGAAATCCAAGATGTATAAAAGCAATCAGAATCAAGCTCAGTCCTTCATTACAACCATGGAGATAAATGAAGGGTTCTACATTACGCTGCCGTCTAATGACAGCCTGGAGGTATTTCAAAACAATACAAGCTCTAGCTATCAGGTGAACCTAGCACAACCTTTACACTTGGATGGTTCGTGGCAGGTCGCCCTGACAGAAATATCATACCCCCACACCTGGTATAACGTACCTACGGAAGCAGCCTTTTTTGAGTGGATAAAGAAAGCAAAACTCCCTGACATATCCCCAACTAGCAAGTTAAGGCTTCATATGTTTAGAGCTGGTTACTATAGTAGCATAACTCAGCTCATAGAGGAACTTGAGTCCTGCTTAAAAAAAATTGACCCTGATGTCAGTTTACACTATAGTCCAATTAACAGGAAAATCGAATTTCTAGGAGGGGCTCAATATCGCTTCCGCTTTCCAAAAACCGTCGCCTATATGCTTGGAATACAACCAGACCAGTGGCTCAAATTTGATAATAAATCAGCTGCCTATCCAGCGGATATAAATGCTGGCTCAACACATCTATACTGCTATAGCAATGTGGTCAGTCACCAGCGGGTAGGTGACGCTTTTGCTCCTCTCTTGAGAACCGTAGATATAAGAGGAACATTCGGCGATACAGTAACTCAGTATTTTAATCCTGCATACTACTTGCCGGTAACAAAAACACACATCGAGAATATACAGATAGAAATAAAAAACGACCAGAACAAACCAGTAAAGTTCACCTACGGAAAAAGTGTAGTGAAACTTCATTTCCGCCCCTCAAAACGATGATTCATCAAGACCCCCAACGTTTTGTGAGTTACTATGAAAATCAAGCGGGGGGATCTCTGCCTGGTTTTTATGGTGCCCCGGTAATGTACGGGCGAGGCATTGGCTCTATATTTTCCAGATTATTTCGTTTTGTCGCCCCCCTGGTGAGAAAAGGGTTCGCCATAGCTAAACCTCATCTGAAATCGGCGGCCAAAAATATTGCATCAGATGTTATCAGTAAGGCTGTCCATAGATTCGGCCCCCAATCAGACCCCGGATCTCAAGAAGGATCAGGTGGTCTGATGGTTTTGGCAAGAATGGCCCGGAAGAGACCTCCAGGCAAACGGGTTCCGAGGGGTGTCAAGAAAGGAAAACACACAGTCAAAAGAAAATCATTAGGGAAAAAACACCCTCGGAGAAGGAACGTATTGGGGAGAGATATATTTTAGCGTGTTAAATATGGCCCTTTTACATCACAAATCTGCTGAATGCAGCATGGCAGAGCTGGATTTATTTTCAGCTCCGATGACACAACTCTCTATCGACGAAAAACACTACACAGAGGTCCTTCCACTGTCTGCCATTACAGAGGACGGACCCATAGAATTTTTTATACCCGGGGACGGAGATAAATACCTGGATATGAATGACACCTTGATACATCTCAGGATCAAAATAACCAACGCAGATGGGACTAATCTGGCAGCTGATGCCCCCGTCGCCCTAGTTAATTACCCTCTGAATACAATTTTTAGTCAATGCGACGTTATTCTAGGGGACAGACTAATTTCTCAATCCAGTTCGACTCATCCTTACAGGGCGATTATTGAAACGCTATTGAATTACTCTGATTCTACTTTAAAAACTCAGTTCACAGCCGGCTTATTTTATAAAGACACCGCGGGGTCTTTGGACTCTATAGTCACAGCCAATGGACCAAATAAGGGGCTGGTAAAGAGGGCCTCATTCACAGCAGAATCTAGGGAGCTCCATTTGATGGGTGCTTTACACACGGATATATTCTTCAGCGAGAGGCTTCTCCTGAACTCTGTAGATTTGAGAATCAAACTCACCAGATCTAACGATGCCTTTACTCTCATGTGTGCAAATGACTCTACATACCGTCTAAAAATACTGGGGGCTTCACTTTTTATCAAAAAAGCCACAATCACTCCTGCGGTGCGTTTGGGGCATGCTGCGGCTCTGCTGAGAGGTAACGCCCTCTACCCCCTGTCACGGGTGAATCTAAAGACATATAGTATACCGGTTAATTCTAGAATATGCAACCAAGAAAATCTCTTTTTGGGTAATATGCCCAAGTACCTAGTATTGGGTATGGTAAATCACGAAGCCTTCACCGGCAGGAGAGAGCTTTCACCGTTTAATTTCATTCATAACGACATGGAGTACCTGGCTTTATGTCAGGACGGGAGACAAGTACCAGCCAAAGCATTTCAACCCCAATTTAACCGGGGGTCGTCAGTCAGAGAGTTTTACAACATGTTAACTGCTACAGGGAGACACATGAAAGACTTGCCTCTAAGTATAGACAGAGATGATTTCGAACAAGGATACTCTTTATTTGTGTTTAATTTAACTGCTGCTGAAGATGCCGATGCCTTATCTCCCATCACAAGCGGTAGTTTAAGACTGGAAATGAGGTTCAGAGTACCGCTGCCACAGACTACCACTTTAATCGTATATTCTTGTTTTGATTCGATTCTGGAGATTAATTCAAAACGACAAGTGCTGGTAGATTATTACTAAGAAGACTACAACATGAATAATCACCAACTGGATAGTCTCATGCAGAATATGTTAGGTGGTTCTTTTGGGGGGGTATGGGCCTCAGACCAGCTACCCCGAGTAAAACAATTATTTAGATGCCCTGTATACATGATTGTCAACACCCACCCCTCCCACATGCCCGGATAACACTGGCTAGCAGTGACTTTAGAGGAAGGGGAAGGAACTTTTTTTGATTCTTTCGGATTTCCCCCCGATTTTAGTCATTATCCTAAAAGCATCCTGCAATTTCTAGAAACACAATGTGCAACTATTTTATACCATAACCGGCAACTTCAGAATGTCATGTCTACAGCCTGTGGTCAACACTGTGTTTTTTATCTATGCAAAAGAGCGTCCGGGTTGTCTTACGAAAATGTGTTATCTTTATACCAAGATGATGTGATAAAAAATGATGCTGCTGTAACGAATTTTGTGAAAAAATACCAGAGGTGTGAGAGACGTCATAAAGACACTCATTTTAATCACAGTGTTTGTTCGCTACAAATGTTTAAAGATTGTTATAAAATGTAGAAATAAAAAAGGTCTGAAGACAAAATTAATTCAGGTGACTCTGTCTTTATTAGGAAATCATGAAATGTAATACAACTTAAGGGGTTCAATGTAACCATCTGGGGCTTAATACTCTGTCTTGCCTTATCCTCTTCTTCTTCTTAAGCAGGGCATTCTGAGGTTCTACAGCTGTTCCTAAAGTGTCCCACCCAGTAGTAACGGGAGATGTTTTTCTTCTTCTTTTTCGGGGGATATTTTCTCGATTTAGTTTACCCTCTTTGATTATGCGATATTGTTCACGAGCGTGAAGGTTTTGAAAAGCTGTTAAGGGAATGTTGATCTCACTCAGACTATTTAAAAAACCCCGCCAGCCTTTAGGCTCCTGGACATTTGTTTTATACGCGCAGGATAAATGTTTAAATAAATCTAAAACGTGGGAGCCTTTAACGGCAATCCCCTTGTCTATAAATTCCCCCACTGGTGTCCATCCAGCTGTACTCGTGGTTAATTTCCTCATAATGTACTCGGCATTCTTGTGGTAACGCTTAGGGAGGTGCAGTAGAACATCGTTTTTTATTTTATCATCGGACGTGCCATCATTTTCTTCTCCTTTTACCACCCCCGTGTCTTCAGGTAGAGTCAGAGTAATATGTCTCTCCTCAAGCCCGTCTTGTTTGAGTAGGGTGAGATATCTTTGTAACAAGGTGTTGTATTTTATGATTTTTTCATAAGGGGGTAATCCTGGTTCGTTTAAGGTGGCTCTCATTTTTTCATCCAGAACATCTTCTGCAGTGCGTCTAATTGTTTCCTTACTGTGAGGGTTAGTTACACCATTCTGATTGAGCTGATTAAACTGGTGAGGTGTTAGCAGAAACATCTTTTGACTCATGGTCGAGCTAGCCCTCCTAAAAGTTGGCCTAAAATGGGGATCAACGCGCCGAGTAGCGGGAGTAGGAAACCTCCAGATTGCTTTCTTAAGGCCTTGAATTTAGTTTTTAAGTTGGTCTTTTTATTGGCCAAGAGTTTGAAAAATGTATTTTGCTTCTTAAGCTTCTTATACTGAATGCCTGACAGGGGGATGTTACCTTTTAAAAGATTTAGAGACAGTTCACAGAGTGATTGAAGAAAATCCGTGGAGCAGTTCTCGAGAATATCCTTGCGCTTTGAAGGCGGGGCTTGACATAAGGCCCTCAACAGAGGCATGTTTCTTTTTAAACGGGCCGACATACTGTTTTTTCTCTAGTCTTCGTTTTTGGTACATAAACAACTAGCCATTGATTAGGTAGTGCTCCCGATCTAAGCCTGTAGATGTCTGGACAGGTGGGGGTCATGTCTACGATTAAGTAACCGTGAGGTTCCGTGGTGGCGTCTTCAAAACTTTGTAGGAAAAATGATTTATTACCAGGGTGTATTTGTTGAGCAAGTATGTTCATTTGTAATCTGTCTCTGGGGTTTTTAAACAAGACCATGTAATTAGTATTCAAACTAATTGTGCGACTGTTTTTTCCTTGGTGAAAAACATTTTGGGTAAGCATGATAACACTCATATTTCTATGATGACGGTATTGGGTGAACAGTCTGACTACTTCCGGATGCTCAGAGGCCTGAAATATAACATCGTCTAATATAATCAGATGACTTTGGTCAGGAGGAAATAGCGATTCATCTTCAAATGATTCAGGCAGACCCTTGACGAATTTTATATTTGTATTCTTTTCCTGCAGTTCAGCATACATGGGCTGGAAAGAAGTATAAATCCACACAATATTTTGAGGCTGTACATCCATTACGTGAATACAATTTTGCAATACATTCTTGACAAAAAAAGTTTTTCCACAACCACTAGGGCCCACTACTAGACAGGAAAAAGGAACACGCAGTCGGGGGTCAAAATCAATTTGACTTGGTGAAAACATGTCGTCAATTATTTTCTCAATACCCAAAAGGCAAAGTATTTCCCCAGGCTAACAAACGTCTCTTGTCAAACACAACTCGGAACTTTTTGGTGAATGACACATTTCTCAAAGCGAAAACCTCTTTATTCCTTACAATGCTGTGCTGAGGGACCTCAATTACCCTCCCCCTCTCAGAGTTTTGAACGTAGCCCTCCACCAGGTCGGCCAGACTGTCAAAGTTCACTCGTTTGCAACATTCGTGCGTTTGTGTGATGCCTTTCACGCGCATCACAACTTTTTTTTGATTTTTGGTCTGATAAGCATAACTTTTAGGGCCTGCTGAAACAAACTCTTTAATCGTATCGCCCCCCAGCTCGTCTGTCAGGTCCCCCAGATACACACCCATAGGTAGGGGGCTCTCTCCTTGTCTTGTCACATAGATTATGCTATCTGTGTCGTAGTAGAATACTCTGCGCTGTAATTTCTCCAATTCACTGTACAGTTTCAGCCTGGCATACGCTGTGGTAAAGGCGGCGATGAATATGTTATCCACCTTGTTGGGAGTAGAGTAACAATTTTCCCCGTAGCACCACTGAACTAGAGCCGTTCGGGGGTTGAGGAATGAGAAATACGTAACCTTATGTTTAGCTGAAAACAAGAGGTTAAGAAATTCTTCGGCTTTGGTCACAATCTTAGTCTGAGTCAGATTGCTTCTCTGGGCAAATTTACCCCAGAAACTGTTGAGACATAGTTTTGCCACTTGTCTTTTGACGGGGTTTGATTTGATTTTATCTGCATCCAGCAAGATGCCCTGCTTAGCATGATAGTCTGCCACATACTTTTGTCTGCTCTCATCATCTGAGGCCTCTGAAGGGTAACCTGATGCTTCTTGTTTACCCTTCAAAAAGGTGTGTATATAGTCTACAAAAATGCTGTCACTTTTCTTCTCAAAATGCCACACCTCTGTGATCTGAGTCATCTTGTAACCCATATCCAGGGCTTTGGTGAATTCCGGGGTCACCCAAACCCCTGTTAACGCTCTTTCCTCTTTGCTATGCAAGCAGGCCCCCTGTTGGTTGTTAAGCTCTGCGCATGTGCGGCATAGAGTGAACACCAGTTTACCAGCTGCAGTTCGGTAGGGCAGGACAGGAAAGTACAGACCTCTAGGAGGTTCTACTGTGGCTTTGATTAACCCGAAATAACTGCGAGGGTCTTTGAAATCTCGGAATATGATCTGAGGGTGTCCAAGTGGATATAGGCCTGTGCAGTTTACAAAAGGATAGAGTGAGGTGAAATCGCAGTAATGAACCGATTCATCTACCGCGGCTGTGTGCCTCAACTTTACTGCACATGTCCTTCCCCCGTATAAAGCATCGCGGGGGGTCAGCGGTTCTGGTGCATTGTATACCTTGAGGAAAGCCTTCAAATCTTGATTGGATTTTTTCATCTCAACCCATGTATGCTCACGCATAACGTTCACTTTGGCCCCATGGACAGCCTCTAGCTCATGCAGTTTTGCCTCGCTAACAGCATGGAGATGCTCAAATGTGTGACCTATCAAGGGATTTTTCTCATGCCCCTTATAGCAAGAGGGGCATCCGTGATAGAAACAACCGAGAAATTCCCAGACAATCTTTTCCCCGGTAACTTCGGCAAACCCGTCTACGACGAAACGTCCCACTCGTTGCTCTCCTTCATTCAACGCATGTTGAATAAAAACACCTGCAGTCTGAGCTACCCACTCCAGCCACTGAATACCTGCGTCTGAGTACGTCTTGTTTTCACGGCGGTAGTCGTCGGGTGGGGGGATTGCCAATGTTTTGGGCGTTAGAAAGTTTGTGGTAAAAACTTTCATACAGGCAGAAGCTATAGTCGCACGACTAAAAGGATCAACTCCTGTCTCCCCGAGAAAACCTTTCCGAAATAATGCGGCCCCCTGGGCAAGAATGTCCACATCGTTTTTGCAGTAAAGCAATGCCTGCTCTCTAAAGTCAAAAATGCCCCGGCGTACCGTCTCATACCATGTGAGAAAGTCACTCTTTTCACCAGTTGTCATGCGTTCAACCCCATAACAGCGTGCGGGTGGATAAGGGCCTATATAACTCAGGTTAGCCTCGGAGCTGAAACCGTGAGGGAAGTACCCCTTGATTTTATCTCCAAACCCCAAAGCTTTTGGCATGTCTGCTAAACGCATAGACAGATAAGACAGTGAGTCTATGTACCTGTGACCGAAATCCTCGTCAGTAAAAGAGATCACTTTACTTCCCTGCATTGTTAACGGGGGCTTTAGCCCCTGTGCAACCATTGCGTTGATAATGAAATAGCTGTCAAAACCCTTAGCATTGTGCGCGATGAATGTTGCATTCTTGAACTTTGGGCTCCTAAAGTGTGCCAGAAACTGCCGTGCACAGTCGATTCCTTCGCCGACCCAAATTTCACCCCCCAAGGTTTTTGTACAAACCAAGAAAGGTATATGTACCCCATCTGCCCCCGCCATTGTTTCAAAATCATAAAACACAATGTTGTCATTGTGTTCTGTCTCTTTAGGCTGCACTCCTATGTAACACAAATGTTTTTCACACCCAAGCGTAGAAGTAGATGGTAATTTTTCCTTGCATGTCTTACATTTTTTCGTCACACACTTGTGTGTTTTATCTGCTTTACTCTTGGGGGTGTAGTAAGAAAGTTGGCAATCTGCACACTTTTTGTGTAAATCACAGTTACTGGCAATGTCTGTTGATCTCTGTTTCTGCTCTTTATGTCGAGAATGACAGCCGACTGTACGGCATGTTTTGTTGCAGTCTTTACAAAAGATGGGTTTAAACTCTTCCCGGGTGCATGCGGGGTCAAGGCAGACATAGCAATGCCCAGTACAGGAGTGACTCCATTGAGAACTGTACCCTGTATAGCAATGTTCACAGACATACGGAGAGCCTAAAAACCCCTTCAAGTTCTTAACACCATAGTAGTGGTTGTGTAGGAGGAACAAAAACACAGTTTTGTCTCGTGTGGGGGCGTCTGTCTGAAATGTACAAAGGGTTCGGTCGTCACCGTTTCGGTAAAAAACCACTATCTTACAGTTTAAGCTGTCTTCGAATTTATCAATGTCGCTGAATGTCACAGCTGTATGAGCTGTCAAACCCGCCATATTCTGGATCTCTTTACCGCGCTTGACCCCCTCATTATCAGTGAGGTTATCGTGTAACAACAGTGCTAAATTAATAGCAAAACACAGCTGGTTGGAGGAGTTCTGAACAACGTAAAGAAAACGCGCCTTCTTTTTAACAATCTCACTGTCTAACATTTTACTAATCATCCGTTTACCCTGAACCCCCCCACGGGGGGCCTGAACAATTTGAACCACGAGCTCCATGTTGCCTTCTGCCATTACCATGATATTCGATTACATGGCTTTGAACAGCCCCTCCTCAAAATCATCCAGATTATCATCGGGACCATTTAAAATGGCTGATACGTTAACCCTTAGTTCTTCACCACGTAACTCAATTTGTATGATATCTTCTCTTTCTGCCCGTGCAAAAGCATGTGCACGCATGTTATGCACATTGTTCATCAGACCCTGAAAATAGACTCCAAAGTCTGCTTCACCCCCAATAGGCGGTAGGACTAGAGACTGTCTCATTTCTATGTTACCGAATACAGGTCGAGAGATAACACTTGGCTCGGCATCTCTGCTAGTGCCTCCTCCTCCATACTGTGACAGGGGGCCCGGTGATTCCGAAGCATTCGGGGTGTCATTCTGATCAACATGTCTGTTACTTTGCATGGAGCAAGCGGGTGATTCTGAGTCATTCGAGCTGTCATTAACACACCCGTCATCTTGCATGCTGGAAACGGGGAGGCAGGCGTGGGGCGAAGCTTCGCTATTTTGTCCATCCAGACGGCGGGCATTGTCTAGAGGCTGCTCTAAAAGCCCTCGGTCTGCATAGCAGTCTATCACCCAATCCAAGGCACCGTCTAATGTTTTTGTTGGACTGCTTGAATTTGTTTCTGACAAGGCCGCAGGCTCGTTTACAGCTGAGCCTGCGTCATTTAACTCACTGTTGCTGCCTGAACACTGCGGAAATGACAGGTCCCTATATCTGAATTCATCATCATCATCACTGCACAATTCGTTTACATCCGGTAATACATGCAGAAAGGACCTTTCTCCATCTGTATAGGGGCTTGTTTCTGTCAAGGGCGTAGGCTCGCGTACATCTGTTATTGTGTCATTTAGCTCACTGTTACTGTCTGACCACTGTGGAAATGACATGTCTTCGTACACAAAGCCCTCACCACTGCATAGTTCATTTACATCAGGTAAACCCTCGATGAAGGACTTTTCGTCGTCTTTAAAATCATCCATGCTTGACCGTTTTTAAGAAATCACCCCCGCAAAAAACATAAAAACAAAAAAATCAGTGGCACCGCTGAAGAAACATTCATGGACGTAAAGTCAACATACCTGGCGGATACATCAATAACAGTTTTACATGTGATCTACGTGTAGCTTATTCAGATGGTGTGGCCTTAAAGCAGACCTTAACAAACAGCGTTTGTCCTTTTGATAACGGGGTCCTCCCCTTCAATTGCTCTATAAAAGAAAAGAAAAGAAGAGGGTATAAGCATGTTTTTTGAAATACTCCAAAACAAAATCATTTAGCTATCATCTTTTGTATAAGCACACATAAAAAAAGCATTTTTTACCTGGTAGGTTTGAATTGTCAAAAACACCGTCTGTGTTGAGATGACTTGTTGAACAGATCTGCGCTGAGCTGAGACCATGCAGGCCGCCGGAGGGGTGCACCACCTTTTTAAAACAAGTGAGTACGTTATTCTGGATACTTACACCTGAAAGAACATATTTGATTTTTAAGAAATATAGCTAAATACACTTATAGTAAAAAAATGTACACCACATTATTTGTACTTAGAACGATACTTCATTAAAGCTTCTAAATAATTACATAATAGAAAAACACAGATGCATAGAGGTTATTTAACACGCACACACACACACACATCAAGCAGCATTAACTAACTATATGCTATTATAACATAAAAAAATAAAAGTACTTACCATATATTTTCAAAATATCTGGGCCTTGACGGGGAAAAGCGAAGAGAGGCTGCCTAGATGTTTCCGGGCTTACTTATAGACCGCAATATGTAAATGATTCTAAAAACAACCAATGGGGTTATTCCTGATTGTTTAACAAATTAGCATTATATTGTATTTGGTTTTTTATGGTAGAGCAAATACTTTTTTATTTTAGGCTATTCTCCTGTATATATGTATGCGTGTATATATATATATATATATATATATATATATATATATACATATATATACACGCATACACATTACAAAAAAACATGTAGATAGTTACATGAGAAAATAATGTAACTGCTTTCTCTGTTTTGCTCTGACCATCTGTCCTGAATTCGGAGACTTTTGTAATTAGCAGCCTCAGACCGTCTCCTCACACACACACACACCATTTGCCCCGCAGAGGATGTCTGGGGGTTTTATGGTGTCCCCACACCTGTCTTGACTGTTCACCAAACTTTTCACGGCAGAGAATAGCAGAGAGAGAGAGTTAGTGAGATTGACAGTACTTTTACAAATATATGGTTGTATATTTCTTGTTATTTGCAAGTATTTGTAAGTTACAGTCAATACTGCTGTATACAGGGGCACAGGAAGTGGTTAGGTGGCGGGACCTTGCTCTTTAGAGCTGAGACATTACTTTTAAAATATATGGTTGTATATTTCATGTTATTTGCAAGTATTTGTAAGTTGCAGTCAATACTGCTGTATACAGGCGCACAGGAAGTGACTAGGTGGCAGGGACATTGATCCTATGCATATGTGATTCATTATAAAATTATTATTTTGTAAAACCGTAGGGGGCAGCATTTTATTTTCTCCTGGTTGTTACATTTCATGTTATTTTGCCGGAAGCGGGGCGACCGGTAGGGGCAGCATTTTTTATTTTTATCATTTTCAAATTATTTTCAAATTTTATTTTGAAAACTGGCAGGGGGCAGCATTTTATTTTTCTCATGGTTGTTAAATGTCATGTTATTTTATTTTGAAAACCGGAAGCGGGGGCGACCGGTAGGGGCAGCATTTTTATTTGTATCATTTTAAAAATATGTTTTAATTTTATTTTGAAAAACCGGAAGTGGGGGGCGGAACTTCCGGTAGAAGGGGCGGGGCTTATGGAGGGGCGGGACTTCCGGTGGACGTGGGCGGGGCTTATGGAGGCGGGACTTCCGGCGGAAGGGGGCGGGACTTAGAGGTGTGACCTGTCACTTTCTATGCATACTAATGAGACGAAAGTGGTATGTGTATAACTACTTACATGCATAACTTTGTGACTTATCCCACTCTGTATGAATGTTGCAACTCCTCCCCCTCTGCCAGAGTCCCTATCTCGTCTAACTGCAGTATATCCCTTCACAATAAAATCCAGTTGTGCTTTCAGCCATGTTTCCTGAATACAAAGAACATTAGGTTTCTCTCCCAGGTTGTCAATATATTTGTTGAACTCTTGTCCATTTGCAATTATGAGGGGGCTAGAGCACCCCCACCTGTTGGCGGAGAGTTGTAACTGCAACGCCAAAAAGTTCACTAATCAAATCAATACAAAAGTTTTATTTTGAGTTACTATGTTTGAGCATCCCGTGCAACTAGCCTATTGTAGTGGATTAAATATTAACACATGTGAGTGTGAAGGTCCAGAGTCTGAGACCCGCCCCCTGCTTCCTGTCTGTTGCTCAGCAACATGGAAATGTTCCACTCTGACACAACGTCTGTGTCCTTCTCATCATTACTCTTCTTTCCTGATAAGTGATCAACGTTTCTGGGAGTGGACAGACTTTGTCACTAAGATGGAGTTGTCGAGATATACAACTTGAATTGTGTGAATTTAAAGATTAAGTTCCTGTTTTTAAGGTCCAAGCGAGGGGGGGTGTCTTTATTTGTGTCACCAAATCTACTTTCAGTCTTTTTGAATCTTTTTTAACACTTTTTCTGTATTTATGTGATCGTTCTAAGTCTGTTTTGATCCCCTTTAAGTCCTTTTGCTTTCTAAGTGGTTGCTTTGTGGATGTTTTAGTACTTCCTCCTCTCCTTGCAGTAATTCAGCTTCTCTCTGATGTTTCTTTAGTCATTTGATCATGGACGTGGGAATGGGGGGTGCTGAGGGGGCTGCAGCACCCCCACCTGTTGGCGGAGAGTTGTAACTGCAACGCCAAAAAGTTCACTAATCAAATCAATACAAAAGTTTTATTTTGAGTATGTTTGAGTTAGCATTTTAGTGTAAGCAGTCTCTAAAAAGCTTCACTATAAGAGAAAGTGATAATGCAGTGTGCTTCTTCTGTTGCTCTGCTATAGAAAAGAAGCTCGTCAGCGCAAGATCAGGGATGGGAGTTTTGTGAAAGCACGGTTTAAGAACTGGCGAAAGGCAGAGGAAACATTTAGGGAGCATGAGAAGTCCCATCAACACACAGGCCGTCAACAAACTGGCAGCATGACAACGAACACCGATGAATGCGCTGCTCTCACAAGCTGTTGCTAAAGACCAAATGACTGCATTTAGTGTGACGTTATTATACCGGACCCTCCCTCCACGCAGATCACGCAGACTGCGTGGGGCCTCGTTTTGCAGAGGGAGCCTCATCTGAAGCGCAAACGCAGTGTAAGTGCCACAGTTTCGACGCTGCGAGTCACAGGTGAGAGTCACAGGTGAGCCGCAGAGAGTCACAGGTGAGAGTCACAGGTGAGAGTCACAGGTGAGCTGCAGAGAGTCACAGGTGAGCTGCAGAGAGTCACAGGTGAGCCGCAGAGAGTCACAGGTGAACCGCAGAGAGTCATAGGTGAGCTGCAGAGAGTCACAGGTGAGCTGCAGAGAGTCACAGGTGAGCTGCAGAGAGTCACAGGTGAGCTGCAGAGAGTCACAGGTGAGCCGCAGAGAGTCACAGGTGAGCCGCAGAGAGTCACAGGTGAGCCGCAGAGAGTCACAGGTGAGCTGCAGGTCAGCAGAGTTCTGCAGCAGGACGTCCTCGGGGTGTAAAGGACCGCGGTCCCCCGTGAACACACACATCTCACCGTCACCGGACCCCCCCGACAGGTGGAGCCCTCCATCAGGGAGACCAGGGGCTGGAGGCGGGGCTTAGAGACCAGGACTGAAACACAGAGGAGAGCAGGGCAACCTTTTTTTATTCCAGTTCATCTTGTTTTAATTTGTATTGGCTTTTTCTTTACTGCCTTTAAATGTAGTTTTATAAGATGCTTCCTTTGCACCATATCTTATTGATTTATTTATGCCTTGTTAAAATGTGCTAAATAAAAAACTTGATGACATAAATGTATTTATTTTTGCATTAGACTGAAGTTGTTGAATCTGACAGAGAACGCCTAATCAGGTTAAAGGTTACAGGTTATAGGACCAACTTCATCACCATGCTATATTCTGACTGGGGGGCCAGTTATTTTCTGAGGGGGGCCAATAAATGCAGGACGAGAAAGACAAAGACAGTATGAAGTAATTGCGCATAAGAAACAATGCATACAGTTATTCTTTCAGTACATATTTATTTCAGATACTTATAGTTACACTTTTTACGCTCTAATGGGTCCGACTAGAAAGATTGTCGTGGCTTCATTCCTTGTTTTTCTATCAAGCCACTAGACGCCTAAACAGACACTTCTAACTCGTTTTCTTTCCTTTATATTACTAACAGTTGAAGAGTTACTCGGCCTCCGATGGTTTGGATGAAGTTGCGATGTGTTTGAATGGTATTCTTTCTTCTTGATAAGGCTTCTATAACTTCATAACTTAAAGGGTAGTTAAACGATTTGTGTACGTGTATGGTTAAAACTGTTCCTCGATGGCGTCTCTCCAACAAGTGCAGGAGAGCAGGAAGTCTGACCCGAGGGGAGCCGTGATCGGGCACGGGGGTTTCATGGTGATACCTGTTAGTTCAATATTGAACCCTCTCCACCTGCAGTGTGTATTCTCACCTTCAGTGACGACCACCCTCACTGACGTCATGATGTCAGCATAAGGCCTGTCGATCCCGACCCAGTAGACCCCGCTGTCCCCCTTCTGCAGATCTAAGACCCTCACAAACAGTTCTCTACTCCGAGCATCCACGATGTGAACCCGGGTGGTTCTGGTCTTCCCCTCCGAGTCCACCAGCACCTCGCAGGTCCTCCTGGACTCTCCTCGGCACCAGTACTTGTTGCTGAGCAGCTGGTTCTCATAGCTGCAGGAGAGCAGGAAGTCTGACCCGAGGGGAGCCGTGATCTGCTTCTTATCACACTGCAGCTGCAGACTCGCTGAAACAGAAAGGAAAAGGGAGTCTGAGAAGAAGCTCTTTCATGTCATACCAACAGTGGGTCTGCTAATGCACATTCAGAGTGCATGGGAGTTGGTTGCTTGTGAATATCCCCGTGAGAAATAACACTTGTACCTGGAAATACTTTCCACACACCTGAACACACAGAATATCACGTCAGCTAGGAATACACATCTGTACACAGGTATTTATGTTGTGTGTGTGTGTGTGTGTGTGTGTGTGTGTGTGTGTGTGTGTGTGTGTGTGTGTGTGTGTGTGTGTGTGTGTGTGTGTGTGTGTGTGTGTGTGTGTGTGTGTGTGTGTGGTTAAAACACATCAGCTGCCTCCTGGTGCTGCAGAGATTTCATGAAGTGAAGGAGGTGTTCCTTCCATAAAGCAGCTGTGGGCAGCAGATACTGTGAGAGTCACAGACATGAATACATAGATCAAGGCAGACTGGTGCACACACTCTCCTGTTTTGCCAATCCGGTGGTTAAACAAATATAGCTCTACATCCCTGGCCGACATGTCCTTAAAATGAAGTCAGAGTTCGACATTTTAATTCATTCATTACCTTTCCAACTCCTCATGCAGTTGACTGTTACAGGTCTATCCAGGTTCATGGTACAATGCATAAGCTTCACATCGAGAGACTGAAACTGTGTTTTCCTTTACCGTTCTGTTTTCATTTCACAATAAAGTTAATAGTCACATTATGTTTGATATTATTATGTTTTATTAACTACACCACTGGTTTTTTAACCCGCGCCGCCTAGTGGTTAAAGCACGTTATTGAATGTTGAAGAGTTTTATTGATGAAGTAGCCTACATACACAATATAAAATATCAAGAAGACACTGTAGTGATCTCTAAAACAGTTGAGTGCAGGACGTCCAAAGATATTAACAGGAGGATGCAAAACAGACCAACTAGGC